AAAAMCKRAAAAAAAMTYTAAAAGACTTGAATACRAAYTTATATTTTTGYTTACAAGGCTTTACATTTTATACCCGATAATTTAACTGTATCATGGCCAGCAATCGACAGCTGACAACATTAATATGCTGCAATAATTATACACTTGCAACATGATGTGACACAGCGTAATAAAAATATGAGTAAAATAGTTAKATATTATGCATAATTTTAAAATTCTTAATCTGTTATTCAAAATCTATGTCGTCACCGTACAGTAATCCCCCTTGGTCACAATACACTTGGGCCAACGGTTTTTCCGGTTTCGAAACAGTCGTTGAAGTCAATTTCCGCAATAGCCTTCAATGCGCGTGGCGATTAACGTTTAATGTTTTCAACMGTTTTCCCCGAAGCGGTGGTTTTAGTTTGCTGAATAGCCAGAAGTCACACGGAGCTAAATCAGTCTAATACTGTAGTTGCGGCATGACATTAGTTGAAAACTATGTAAGTAAAAAACTCGCGAAGAAGCAATGCAGTATGCGCAAACGCAAAGTCTTTCTTGTTGACAGTGTGGTCGGTCGGAAGGAATTCGGAGTGCACCACACCTCGTTAATCGAAGAAAACTGCCAACATAATTTTTCTTATATTCTATTATAAGCGCTAAGTTACATGTACGAGTAAACTAATCATTTATATGAGTTTATTCATCAAAGCTGAGATCAAACTTTAATTCTTTGCTTTAATTGTCATTTTAAAGAGCTTAACTTAAATTTTAGTGCTAAGCTATAGGCAGAGTCTGAGCTCCTTTCTTTGGATGTCATAACAGAGAAGCTATAAGTCACCAACTCCATAATCTTGTATATGCCATGACTGGTTGAATCCTTTCTAGTGACAAGGCATTCRAATTGGTCCATCAGAGAACTTGAAATTTCGATTTTGAGAGAAATTTTGCTTAAAAGCTAGTCTCRTAATGTTATACACATTATATATCGAACTTAAATTTTTATAACCTTATTTACGTATAGTTTGCCGCGAAGTTTGTAACACCAAGAAGCAAACGTTGGGTACCCCGAACCCTGAAATTTGGCATAGCTTATTGTCTAAGGCAACGCTAGAATCTCCGAACAAGTTGTCCAGAGATGCTTCTATTCAAAAAGCTGATGTGTAATACATATATAAATAATAAACGGTGTTTATTTCGACATGTGAAGTTGTGGACAAGAATTTAGCTTTATAATAAAGATAAGAGCTATTTTSTTTTAAAACTGATCTCAGACAAGTCGCGGTTAGCTCGAATGTAATCCGTTCGAGATAATTTTTTCCAATAATTGGTGCTGCAGTTATTAACACGCCGAATATTCTCTTCTCAGACTTTAGTCGTCTTGGGTTTATCTGCATACGCAAACGACTTCACATATCCCCACAAAAAAGTTAAGTATATAAACGTTATATCGTATAAAAATAAAAGTTATGTCGTACGATATTTGATGTCATGTCACAGGAACACGTCTGAAGATAATGCGCTCACCAAAAAGTTTCCTTTTTATAAATTGAATGTTTGTACTCACTCAACTAAAACAGAGCTTCATAACAAAATTTCTTGTGGAATTACTGATCGATGTCCATTTCGTTTTGGGTTCAATCAGCGTTCGACAAGTAGCTCGCCTTCAATACATGCGCGAGTTAAAGTTTTTATACTCGCRAACCAATACCCTTCCGCAAAATCTTCMATAAATTGAATKTGCACAKCKSCARAGGTCRCGMGCTCTGCTTCACAGCAGCAATAACGTCTTCGGTGCGCACTGCGCTGAGGATGCGCATTATTCATTAGGTTAAAGGAGGTGCAAAACCCATCCATAGTTACACGAATTACCSAGTCGCTGGGTGATTATGTCGASCGAATATTTAAKGCAATATTTTGGCAATGAAAMATTGTGATTATTTTTRTAATGAAWTTGACTGCGTTGCAAAACGCTCTTTCCAGAGTATTCTATTCTTCTTTTCATTATGAAGAGCTAAAGTGAATACAGGGCTTTTTTAGAGGTACGCTACAAAAGTAGACSGATAGGGACACCAAACGTCGCCATACTTTTTCCCGCTTGACAGTTTTCTTCGGTAAAGTTTGCCATTTCATCATGGAAAGATATACGATCGAATTTATTATAATTTTCTACTTAAATTCGGAGTCAGTGGTCTCAACTCTAAGTGCGCTACGTCCAATTTATGGTCGTCATAAAGTCGTTAGATTAGTCAGACCAATAATTGAGCGTCTAGTGGAAAAATTTGAATTCACAGGCACATTACAAAATTCTTCCATGCCAGTCAGACAATGTAGTGCCCATGGTGCTGAGAATATTGCTGCCGCTAGCGCATCAATTGAAGAAGACCWAAATCAGCCTCTCACACGTCATTCTCCAGCGTTGGGCATCGCTGTGACGTCGTTGTGGCCAATTTTGCCAAAAGATATTGGCCTAAGTCCTTACGAAATCAAACTAACGCAAGAACTGAAGCCGCTTGACCACCAGATTCGCAGAATCGTCGTATGTTCGTGCATTGCGCTGGGCAACAACTTGAAAATGATCCGGATTTTTCTGGCTGAATGACTTTGTAAAAAAAGTAAAAAACAAAAATATTGGTCAGATAGCAATCCACACGTACGCCATAAGTCACCATAGCATCCCGAAAAAATTACGGTTTGGTGCGGTTTATGTGCCGGCAGCATCATTGGGCCGTACTTCTTCCGTGATGACCACATCACAGCATGTTATTGTGAATGSGCATCGCCACCGCTCAATGATAGCCAAATATTTTTTTTTTGCCCGAACTAGATGATATGGACTTGGATAACATCTGCTTCCAACAATACGGCGCCAAAAGCCACACAGCAAATGTCACAATCGATTTATTGAAAACCAAGTTTGGTGAACGTGTTGTCTCACAAAATGGCCCAAWCAATTGGAAGCCGCCTTCGTGCGATTTGACGCCATTTGACTATTTCCTCTGAGGCTACGTCAATGTGAAATTGGAGCAGTGTCGGCCGATTTATGCTTGAAAACCTTCCAAAATAGATTTAGCGTCTGGACTTCAGCCTCGCCTTATTAAAAGCCGCGTTTATCAAAAAAAAACCGTTATATTCAAATCGAAGTGAAAATATTGAATTCCGTCATTAGCGCGCCATCTATCGTGTGGAACTCACATTTTGGATCATAAAGATTTACTAATCAAGCTACTTCCTTCTAAATGAAAGAAAGAGTTAAATGTTCATTTCATGCAATATTTTCGAAGAAAACAACAAATATTTGCCTAATTTGAAACAAAAATACCTTTTATCAATACTTGGCCAGCACACTTCGTCGTCACCTTCGCGTTGTTCTCCGCGCGCTTTGTTTATTTTGCCACAAATACCGAACCATCRATTGTGTGATGTCAACGCCTTGAGTCTTGAGTGTTTACTCCCCACCGCAGTGTAGGCACTAAACGCCGCAACCTTTTTGGCTGCATTCATCAAAGGAGTCATTAACGCCATAACAACTGCGTTTGTTACGACGCGTCACTGGTTCGTTTACATGCGAGTGTGCAAGTGTATGCGTGTGTTTGGTTTGAGTATGTGCGTGTTGCTTTGCTGCAAGAGCGGCAACTTTTGTTTTGTGGCGCATTGCTGTCGATCGGTTGATTGGTTTTCCAACTTCATTGCGCATGCGCAGCACACTTGCGAAGGCCGCAGAGCCCAATYGACGCGTCGACGTGGTTACCTCGTTTATTTGTGGYGTAGACTTGGCGATTACTACGCGTTAACACCCTTTTTCTTYTTGTAAAATTTATTTTTCTTATATTTTAATTGCATAATTATTCTTTGTTTTATTGACTGGCAAGTGTGTGTTCTGTGTCCGGGTATTTGGTACTCAACTCCATTCAATGTGCCGTGTTCTGGGAACCCTTATGACCCAACGCGGCGGTGGCAATCAGACACTGTTAAAACGCGCAATGCTTATCGTACTCCGTGGCATGCGGATGGATGCGCGATAACGTTTAACGTTTCGAAAATAATAATACAAACAGTAAAAGACAACAACAKCACATTTAACAAAAAGAAGAAC